ATCTGCAAAACCCAAGAGACAACCAAAACTCTCTCTGCCTCTCTCTTGTTTCTGATCTCTTTCACCTTTTTAAACAAAACAACCACTCAAAATATCTTCTTCCTATATTTTTTTCCTCCCCCACATTACAAAATTAGAAATGCAATCGAAAACCTATTCCGCAGGATCCTGTATTGAGAAGAAACTCAGGCTTTTCGGGTTTGAACTGAATCCACGTAGGAATGAAGAAACCTTCATCAAATAAGGAGGGTCATCAACAGAAGGTGGTGGGGATGAAAGTGTAAATTCATCAAACTCTGTCTCACATCCGATAAAGTTGGAACGATCTAGAGAGAATGAGAAGAGCTCAACAAGTGAACCAGATGACAAGAAATTCGAGTGCTAATATTGCTTCAAGGAGTTTGCAAATTCATAAGCACTCGGTGGACATAAAAATGCACACAAAAATGAAAGAATGAAGAAGAAAATGCTCCAACTTCAAGCTAGAAAAACCCGCATCAAAAGTTACCTCCAGCCTTTCAAAACCTTCCACCACCGTGGTTCTACAGTGGCACCGTCATGGTTTTACGACCCTTCTTCGTATCTCAGTTCTGACCATCCATTCACCCTTTATGAAGAGTCCCAGATCAGTTATATCCCGTTCGATCAAAATTATGGGTCGTTAGGCGGGTCCCACTCCAAGGTTTCCAATTGGTACTTCATGCCACCTCAGCAATAGTTTCTTTCTTCCTAGACAGAGGAACAAGATCATCCTTTAAACCCTAGCGATGGCCAAACACTCGGTCGGGTGGGTCGCAGCGCAGAAGCAGTGGCTTCTGACTTTCCTCGTCATGTTCTCCGCCTCCATCATGATCATCTTCTTCATCAGAGTCATCGATAACTTTTGACCGCATGATCGCAACAGTTATGGCCTTCTATGAGCAGCCGACAGAGGCAAAAGCACGGTTCTACCACAGAGAGATGGACACGGGCATATCGTATATCTCCAATGTGGACCTCTACAGCTCAAAAGCGGCCAGCAACACCACCACCACTCTAGCGACCCGTTTGCATTTCTCAGGTCCGATGGGTTGATCGTGCCCTTTTCCACCACCGCCGACCTTTTTCGAAACCATACCCTCGAGATTACTGGTATTTACTAGTGGCTAAAGATCGAAATTTGCTTACCCATCGCGCTGGTTTGACTGGTGCTGTTTGGGGCGTCTTTGTTGATTGGGTTTTTAGCGACAAAATTGACTCTTCAGGGGTGGAAGGATAAGAAGAGCCCGATGCCGAAATGGAGGTGCAGGATCATGTGGATCATTAGGGTCTGTACTCGATGCCTTTCTCTTCGCTTTTAGTAATCACGAAACCTCTAGGCTCCGCAGCTGTCTAGTTGCCATCAAAAGACCTTCCAAAGTTCACGACCAAACTCTCCGACCCAACTCATGTTCTGAGCGCCTTCTCCAGAGCAGTGCCACCGCCACGCCACCTTCTCCAACTGTCGCGCAGCTCCTAAGAATAATGGAGAAATAGCTTTCTGAGAAAGCCATGAGAAAAGCAAAAGGGATTACTGGGTGGTAGACATATGAAATCATTTTCTGAGAAAGCAAAAGGAGAAAGCCATGTGCTCGCGGTTTCATGCATGTGAAATCATTTTCTGATTTCTGAGAAAGCCATGAGAAAAGCAAAAGGGATTACTAGGTAGTAGGCATGTAAAATCATTTTTTGGGAAAGCAAAAGGAGAAAGCCATGTGCTCGCGGTTTCATGCATGTGAAATCATTTTCTGAGAAAGCAAAAGGAGAAAGTCATGTGCTCGCGGTTTCATGCATGTGAAATCATTTTCTGATTTCTGAGAAAGCCATGAGAAAAGCAAAAGGGATTACTGGGTGGTAGGCATGTGAAATCATTTTCTGAGAAAGCACAAGGAGAAAGCCATGTGCTCGCGGTTTCATGCATGTGAAATCATTTTCTAATTTCTGAGAAAGCAAAAGGAGAAAGCCATGTGAAATCATTTTCTGAGAAAGTGAAAAGAGAAAGTAAAAGCAAAAGCAAAAGCAGAAAGCAAGAGAAGATAAAAAGAAGCAGACATAATTGCAGTGGTGATGGCATACAGAAAAGGGAATTATAGGCGTGACCCATTAAGCAGAGGATCAGATTTATTTTTTAATGATGTAATTTATTTTCCTTATCTTTCAGAGAAATCTGTATAAACCCCATCAGAGGATAATAAAAAAAATAAAAAAATAAAAAAAAAAACGGCAAGCCCAAAATAATGGGCTACAATGTCATGTGGAGGGCGAAGGCCCGTATGCCCAAAAGAGCCAGGCTCTATGGCTCCAAATTTATTCGGCACCCTACCGCTATTATCACGAACCAAGTGATTAAAAGTACACCCAGTACTTCCAAAATTATTCAGCACCCTGCCACTATTATCACCAACTAGGTGATCAAAAGTACGCCCAGTACTCCCAAAATTATTCGGCAGCCTGCCACTATTACCACCAACCAGGTGATCAAAAGTACGCCCAGTACTCCAAAATTATTCGGCAACCTGCCACTATTATCACCAACCAGGTGATCAAAAGTACGCCTAGTACTCCAAAATTATTCGGCAGCCTGCTGCTATAATCACCAACCAGGTGATCAAAAGTACATCCAGTACTCCAAAGTTATACATGAGCATCACTCATATCAATCATACATAAACATTCATAAGCATCACTCATGTCAATCATACATAAACATTCATGACCATTATTCATGTCAACATTCATGAGCATCACTCATGTCAACATTCATGAACATCACTCATGTCAATCAACATTGTTGTTGCACAAAACCGAATGGGTCTTGGAACAACGTAAATCCTACCGTGAATCTGCAAGAAAGTAAATAACACAAGATGCATCGTGGTTCATCCCAATATTTGGGCTACGTCCACACTGATATTGTATTTTCTCTGAGAGAATTGTGAGGAAGAGAGCTTGTGAGGGTGAGGATGAGTTCTGCTCTGAATATGAGAGGCCTGAGAGGATGAGGAGGCCTAAGAATTGGCCTCTTCTTTTATTACATAATTACATTTGAGTCCCCCAAGTATTTATACGAGATCTAAATATAGAGGCCCTAAGTATGGTACAAACAGTAGTATCCCAAGTCTTCAGTCAAGAGAGTCTTTTGGCTGGAGACTTGAAATTCAGTCCACGTGTGGGCCAAAGTAACTAGATGTCATCTTGAACTAATACTTGATATGAGGCGGTGCTTAAAGTGAAATGATGCTCAACTAGAAGTAGCACATGTTGCGAGGCTGCTCTGCTTGTGGCTTATATTGCCTTGGTTGGCTCAGCTGGTGGTGTTGAAAGTGAGGGAATCCCTTTTATAGAACAAGGGCTCGCTTCTCAATACATAAATGATGGGCTAGAGTCGATGCTCGCGGCGAGGCGGTTGCTCAGCAGGCGGCGATGTTCTCTAATGATGGTGAAGGAGTCCCTTTTATAGTATAAGAGTTCGCTCCTCAATACATAAATTATGGGTTAAGTCACCCAAGTATTTTTTATGAGGCCCAATATATGGTGATGGGCTAGAGTTGATGCGCGCGACGAGGCGGTTGCTCAGCTAGCGGTGATGCTCTATAATGATGGTGAGGGAGTCCCTTTTATAGAATAAGGGATCGTTCCTCAGTACATGAATAATGGGTGCTCTCTAATGAAAGTGAGGGATTCCATTTTATAGAATAAAGGTTCGCTACTTAGTACATAAATAATGGGCTAAGTCCCTCAAGTATTTTCATGAGGCCCAGTTGAGGCCCAATATATGGTACATAATGTAGTCCCTCAAGTCTTCGGTCAATAGAGGCTGTTGGCTGGAGACTTCAAATTCAATCCATGTATGGGTCGAAATGGCGGTTGTTCGGATGCGATCTTTGTAGACCATGCACTGAAGCTTTGTAGATGAAGCTTTGCAAGTTGAAGCTTTGAAGCTAGAGCTCTGTAAATGAAGCTTTCGAAGCTAGAACTCTGTAAATGAAGCTTTTGAAGCTAGATTGACATGAGTTATGCTCGTGAATGTTTATGTTGATTGACATGAGTGATGCTCATGGATGTTGACATGAGTGATGCTCATGAATGTTAACATGAGTGATGGTCATGAATATTGATTGACATGAATGATGGTTATGAATGTTTATGTGTGATTGACATGAGTGATGCTCATGAATGTTTATGTATGATTAACATGAGTAATGCTCATATATAATTTTGAAGTACTGGACGTACTTTTGATCACCTGGTTGGTGATAATAGCGGCAGGGTGCCGAATAATTTTGGAGTACTAGGCATACTTTTGATCACCTAGTTGGTGATAGTAGCGGCAGGGTGCCGAATAATTTTAGAGTACTGGGCTTAGTAGCGGCAGGGTGCCGAATAATTTTGGAGTACTGGGCTTACTTTTGATCACCTGGTTGGTGATAGTAGCGGCAGGGTGCCAAATAATTTTGGAGGACTGGACATACTTTTGATCACTTGGTTGGTGGTAATAGCGGTAGGGTGCCGAATAATTTTTTGTAGTACTGGATGTACTTTTAGTCACCTGGTTGGTGTTATTTTGGGCTTACGGGCCTTCGCCCACCACACAACATTTCAGCCCATTTATTTTGGGCTTTGCCAATTCTTTTTATTTTTATTACCCTCTAATGGGGTTATACAGATGTCTTCGAAAAGATAAGAAAAATAAATTACATCATTATGGTGGGGTGTTTATTTCTTGCTTTTACTTTCTCTTTTGCTTTCTCTTTTGTTTTTTTTTTTCAAAAAAGAGGAACCTGTATGATTCAGAAGTTGGTAGTCGACAGTTGGTTTTCAGAAAATGGGCAGGTTCATGATGAAGAATCTTATCTTGTCCCTTTGCCTATGTTGTCCATGACCTAATCACTACTGGCCTTGACCCCAGCCTTGGCCGACTCAAAGAGCATCCATTGCACTTGCAGATAGAGGGAACCTTGTGCCTGAAGAGCAAATTGTACTCAGGCAAGATCCTCTAAGGTTGAGGGTTCTTTCTCTTTAGCCGTTCTCTGTGCTCCACCAGGTTCATCTTCACTTTCTTTATTCTTATAATCATTAGGTCGCAGTTCAGGACCAACATCCTGCACCCAGTTGGCAGCATAAAGCCTAGAAGCCTCATTCAACACCAAAAACCACTCCCGCATGGTGAGCTGATGCTGCTTCTTGATATGAGGAGGGTCTGGCAGCGAAGATGGAAATGCAATCTCTTTTAGATCATAACAAATGTAATCATACACTTTCCAACACACCACCCGGACCTTCATTTCTGTGGTGCCGTTAACGTCTTTCATATTGTGATGTGGACTACATACTTCTACCTTTGCAGTGACTGATACTCAAAGCCTAATTCCATATGTTGTTGTACTGCACTGGTACAGACTTCCAAGCCACGGCTACCTGTATAACACTAATATCCATCTGGTTTGCGACGAAGCTGGATTAGAGAAATGAGGGTTGAGCTTTCAGACTGGTGGAGTTCCGTGAGAGAAAGAGAAAAAAAATAGTTGATTTTCTAGGTCGGTTGAGAGCAGAGGAAGTGGGAAGTGAGTAATCGTCGTCCATTTCGAAATCGAAGACGCACCCATTCAAGGTTCGAATAAAGAACTCTCGTAAAGATACGTATTCATCTGGTAGCAGAACTGATTCTTCCAAGTTTGAATGAAGTGCCCGAGCCCACGCTCCATAAACATGCGGGCAGAAAGAAACTGGAATTTCCACACTTGTCAATAATCCCCAACATCTGGAAATGGAGCGCAAAGGCAACAACCAAAATGATGAGAGCCGCCGCCCATAAACTCCCAACCATTACTCATTTTTTTCCAATGGAGGCCACCAAAAGCTGAAACATTCAAGCTGCCAGCATTGAGAGAACCTCTAAATCCTATATGGGTTTTTGCAAAATGTGGGTGGTAAAAAGCGAGAGATGTTTTTTTCCTCAAATAATTTCTGGGTTTGAAGAAGAAAAAACACAGTGTGCTTCTCCCGAGTGCAAAAGCGACTGTGTGTGAATTTTGGAGCCGACAGCAACTGGAAATAGGGCGGTGGACCTGTGAGAATGAAAGCTTTTTTTGGGTTTTGATGTTGTTGCCTTTTCTTTTTAGTGTGCTTTTGCTTTTGGCTTTTGGGGTGGGGGTTTTCTGGAAAAGCCCAAGGAGGTTCTAGGTTTCTGTAGATTTTGCAGTGTTTGATTTTGCAGATTTTGCAGATTCATGGTGGAGGTGAAAAAATGAAAGAGAACCGACATAGGTTTTCGTGTCGATTCTCATAAACGGTGCCAAATGTTAATGCACAAAACCAGAGGGGTCTTGGAACAACGTAAATCCGACCGTGAATTTGCAAGAAAGTAAATAACACAATATGTATCGTGGTTCACCCCAATGTTTAGGCTACGTCCACACTGATATTGTATTTTCTCTAAAAGAATTATGAGGGAGAGAGCTTGTGAGGGTGGGGATGAGCTCTGCTCTGAATATGAGAGGCCTGAGGGGATGAGGAGGCTTAAGAATTGACCTCTCCTTTTATTACATAATTACATTTGAGTCCCCCGAGTATTATACGATATCTAAATACGGAGGCCCTAAGTATGGTACAAACAAACATAAAACATTCATGAGCATCCCTCATGTCAATCAGCTTCGAAAGCTTCATTTATAGAGCTCTAGTTTCGAAAACTTTATTTATAGAGCTCTAGCTTCAAAAGCTTCATTTACAGAGCTCCAACTTTAAAAGCTTCATTTACAAAGCTCCAGTTTCAAAAGCTTCACTTGCAAAGCCTCACCTACAAAGCTTCAGTGCAGGATATACAAATACTGACTCTGAACAACCACCACTTCGGCCCATACATGGATTGAATTTCAAGTCTCCAGCCAACAGCCTCTATTGACCAAAGACTTGGGGGGACTACATTATGTACCATATATTGGGCCTCAACTGGGCATCATGAAAAATACTTGGGGGACTTAGCCCATTATCTATGTATTGAAGAGCGAGCCCTTATTCTATAAAAGAGACTCCCTCACTTTCATTAGAGAGCACCCATTATTCATGTACTGAGGAGCGAGCCCTTATTTTATAAAAAGGACTCCCTCACATTCATTAAAGAGTATCACCACCAGCTGAGCAACCACCTTACCGTGAGCATCACTCATAACTCATCACTTATGTATTGATGAGCGAGCCCTTACTCTATAAAAGGGACTCCCTCACCATCATCAGAGAGCATCACCGCCTACTGAGCAACCACCTCGCCGCGAGCATCAACTCTTAGCCCATCACTTATGTATTGAGGAACGAGCCCTTATTCTATAAAAGGGACTCCCTCACCTTCAACGCCACAAGCCGAGCCAACCAAGGCAACATAAGCCACAAGCCGAGCAACTTCGCAACATGTGCTACTTCTAGTTGAGCATAATTTCACATTGAGCACCGCCTCATATTGAGTATCAGTTCTAGACGACATCTAGTTACTTCGGCCCACACATGGACTGAATTTCAAGTCTCCGGCCAAAAGACTCTCTTGACTAAAAACTTGGGGGATTACTGTTTGTACCATATTTAGGGCCTCCGTATTTAGATCTCGTATAAATACTCGGCGGACTTAAATGAAATTATGTAATAAATGAAGGAGCAAATATGTAATAAGTGAGGAGCCCTTATTCTATAAAAGGATCCCTCACCCTCATAATTAAGGAGGGCCTCCTCATTTCCAGAGGCCAATTCTTAGGCCTGACCCCTCACCCTCTCAAAGCCTCTCATACTCTGAGATTCAGAGCTCTCATCCTCACAGAGAAGCTCTCTCTATCCTCTTCAACATCTCAGATAAATACAATATCAATGTGGACGTAGCCCAAACATTAGGATGAACCACGATACATCTTGTGTTATTTACTTTCTTGCAGATTCACGGTCAGATTTACATTATTCCAAAACCTCCGGTTTTGTACATCAACAGTAACATTATTAGTTATCTTTGGAATTATGTCGAAATCAAGGGGAGTATCCTAAAGTATATTTGCTTGATCTTAATGTACTATTTTTTTCTGCGATTAAGAGCATTTTTCCCATTAGGTTTTTTTTATCTATGAGGTTTTGACGAGGCACCCACCTTGGGTTGATATATTCCTAACGACGTCCACTAGACGTTTTATTTGACTTTGCATTTCTCACACATTTTTCCTTAAACTATGAATTTTGTTCCTACTCAGGTTTTACCATAGCCATTGGGTTTTTTGTGAGACTTAGTTTCAGTTTTTTATGAGACTTAGTTCCATATGCAAGTTCCTACTTTACTTTAAGACTAGCATGTTCCTAGAATCAATGCTGACAAGTCGACTTCCTCAACTCTACATGATGCCGGATCTACTTGAGCATTTACACACTCAAGGAGAAATGTTATAAACTTTGTATTTAAGTATGATTGTGTAAATTCTATATTAGATTTGATACTAGTTATTCTTCCCTATTAGGACTTGTTTTTCTTAGAGGAGAATGATTTTTCCCTCCCTTCTTACTATAAATAAAGGTACTACGTAAGGGGAATAATACATCATCTACACAATCCTACAAACACATCTCTCTATACTCTCTCACTGCCACGCCCTTCTTTCCCCTGTCAGATTAAAACAAGCCATAACAAAAACCTAGTTAACTTAATGTTTCTTTACAAGTTATAACTAAATATGTGTAGCAGATGACTATAATGATTATGCATTTTAGCATGGATTTGATTCCCACTGATTTCCTCTCCCAAACATTTAATAAATTTAACGCTATTATTTGTCAAAAAAAAAACTTAATGCATGTAACCTAGTGTAGTCGACAATCTCCAAACGATCTTTCATTTTTTATGACTCTAATATGGTCATTTAACTAGGTCTGGCAAACAGGTCGTGTTTATCGTCTTTCGTGTAACACTTGTTATCTTAATGGGTTGTGGTGTGTCACATCCCTTATCTTAACGGGTCCTTAACAAGTCGGATCACTTTACCCAATAGGTAAAATGACTAGACCTATTATGACTTGTTAAGAATTTCTTTTTTCTTAAATTTGCACATACCACATTGCCACATAAATAGTACTTCAAAACATAAAAAAATATATATGTCGTTAAGTACTACATTTACACTTCAAAATAAGAGCCTAATAAAAAAGCACACTAATAGTCTACTGTAAAATATCAAATGTGCAAGGATATGCAAAATGGAGTTTTTCTTTTCAAGGTTGTGAAGCCTTTCTCAGAAGTTAAAACCTTGTCGATGAAACTCAAAGCTTGCATGTTATTCCTTTTACAAAATTCTTCAATTTTCATTGATCATCATGAGAAAATTGTATTGGAACTTTGACTTGATCTATTACCTTCAAGAGTCCGCATAAAATAATTATAGAAAAGCCTTTTAAGGGTATAAAATTATTAAATTAATATTTTGCTTATCTTGTATTGAGTTACTAATGTATATACCCGGATCAATCCGTTATCTTAACAAATGATTATCGGGTTATCCGATAACGATGCAAATCGTTATCGTGTCGACCCGATAGCCTTTTAATTTCGTGTCGGATTAATGGGTTGTGTAGAAATTACCAGATCTATCTTTAACGCTTTCAATATGAATAAAACAGAGAAAAATTACTTGATCTCTCCCTCCAAATCCCAAGGATTCGGTCCTTGAAATTTGATCAAATGGCTAAAAACAAAGAAAAATTAGTAAAAATTTTTAAAAGATATAATAAATTTTGATTGTTGGATCAAATTTCAAGAGCTCGAATCACACCCTGAGCTTTGGAAGAAGAGATCCGAGGATCTCTTTCCTTTTTCACGTGATCTTTCCTTTTTTAGTGGAAACATTCAACGCATCCAACCCAATCCCATTAATAAAAGCTATCGTTTGAAAACCCCCAATTTCCATTTTTTTTAACAAACAAATTAGTGTTCATGAACATTGATATGCAGCAACTAAATTATTAGAATATTTAGAGCGCTGCTAAAACCATCCGCGTGTCTTATTTATTGGACCTACTTTTCATTGAAAGTTTCAATAATATATTTAACTTTTTATTAAATATTTTTTTAGTACATCGATATTTTTATAATAAGAAGAATAAGAGTTCGACTAAGTTACTTAATTGGCAGCTTAATTTGGTATCAAATTTGCCATTCACGATATTCGAACCTAAAATTTTTCACTTCTAAATGAAAAGAAATACTATCAAAACCGTAGTACTGAATGATTTTATTAAATAACTTTTAAGCCCTAATAAAAAGTCA